ACAGAGACATTGTCATAACAATTGTTCTTCAGGAACATGCATCGACGGATCCATACCATATGTCGTTCTCTTCGGAGCAACTGACAAAACTACGCACTCTAACTGGACAAGAAAATGAAAATATCACCATTCAAGATGCGCTTACTGCTTATCTCGTGGTGGCATTGAACAAACATGTCTTCGACTCGGACAAGGAACAAATACGACGGGCAAATATTCGAATTAATTACCGAAGCATATCTGATACACTTGCTCCACATGGCCAGATCGACAATTCGATCATGTTCATGTTATCTGACGATTTTGCTAATCCACTTTCATTACCAAGTGTTGCCACAACCATACGAGCATCGATTATTAACGCTCGCAACGAAGAGTTTCTCACACGATAGCTTGTGACTGTCGATCTACTCATGAGAAAAATACACAAAGAAAGTCAAGCGTGGAATTTTGCATTTTATCCAAATGAAGTTTGGATCAATTCAAATTTGAAATTCAAGGTACAGATGGAAGCTGGACTAGAGATCATGACGGAGCTCAGGTATCTTTTCGAATTCTCAAGAAACATATCAAGAATAAATTTCTTCTAGCGTGGAATCAGGATGTGAAAGATAATTTTATGAATGTGGAATGAAATGAAAATATTGAGTTTTCAAATTTCTTTCAGAACAGATATACTTTTGTGTTACTACTGTCACAAATATGTGCACATTTTGACTTTCATTCAACTATTAAAGAACGAAGCAACTAGTGGCGGAGCCAGGGTGGGGCTGGGGGGGGGGCTCAGCCCCTCCCAGGAAAATTTTTAAACCATGTATTTTATTTGCTAACCGGGGCTCAAAGGTCCCTCAAAGGGGGTTGAGCCCCTCCCAGCTCAAAATCCTGGCTCCGCCACTAGAAGCAACACTTCTTTCCTTTCTTTGTATATGCAGCCATGGGTATGTAGAAGTGAAAATATTTTTTGTTTTCTTGTTTTCACATTACAGTGTCTTTATTCTTTACGTGAATGTTTGAGGGTGAGAGTGCAGGTGTGGATGTGGGTGTGAGAGAAGAGAAGGTCACACCCATATCCACCCACACCCAAAATAGTTCATTCTAAAAAAAAGGTTTGATTTCTAAGAATTTTCCCGGAAAACAACAAGTTCTCTGTCTGAGATATGTGATGATGAGAGAAAGACGATACCTAAAAGTCTTGAAAGGCTTAGTCGATTGTACCAGTAGAGCGGATCGTATAACTAAGACGATACTATCGACAAAAGATCGTTTAACTACGCGCACACACTCTCTCTTTCTATCTACTCATTTTGGATGACAGATAATAATTACGACAGATGCAAAATATTGGCCTTCACTTCTCTTTTCTTCTCTTTCATCTTCTCCTTTTACTGCTCCACTGCTTTTTTATTTGTTCTCTTTTCTTTTTTTTTAATGATACTTGTTAAAATATAAGTTTGATGAGAAAGGGCGGCAAATGTCAACAAGAAATTTAATTGGGTAGACAAGAAAAAAGATGTAAAACAGGGTAGCTACCAAGACCATGTATTCCGGGGACATCTCGTTAGTATTGTTTTTCTTTTTCCAGGAATTTCTCATTTTGCTTCCAAGGCGAGATCACGAGAAATAAACGCATGTATATTTGCTCAAAATAAGTGAAATCAATCTCGACAAAAATGAAATAGGATCAGAGCGAGTGTATTGATCTTTGGATTATGCAACACTATTTACAGATTTATATCGGAAATTGAATGGAATCTTGTTTTCATGCATTGCTTTCAAGTATTTCATTCAATCTTATTGGAAATGGTGCGATGCTCTGTATTAAAAAAATTTTGGAGGGAGCTTTTTTGTCCGTTAAAGTCTGTAATCAGAGCGGTTGATTCTCATCAGTTGGAAAAAAGTCAATCGGTTTCAACTCTGATAGAAATGGCTATCCAAATGTTTTGTAGACCGAATATATTTGAATGCTGCTCCATTATCATATCCAAAGATTTTTTTTCTAATCGAATAGGCTACTCATGTACCATAGAATATTTTGATATTGTTATATTTTCTTTTCACAACTAATTATACACGAGAAAACAGAATGACATCATTTTGAATGGTTGTAGAATTTTATAGATGAAATTATGATATATTTTGGAGAAAACATTATTTCTCGCGTATATCATAAGTTTTAATTCTTTTTATAAATATGTCAATAACAAAAGCGCTTTAAACTACCAATCAGTAGCGAATATCTCCTACTTCATATTGATAGTAATACTCACCAAGTATTTAATTATTCGAACATATATTATGGAGATGTGCTATTTGAAATAGCCCGACTCTCTTTTTTTCCCACTAGAAATGAAACGATGTAAACTCTTTTTTTTCTTTATATACGTTTTATTTCTCAAAGTACCATAGAATTGGTTGGAACGATAAAGAAAGACAGTGATTCTTTTCAGAAAAGAATCTCATGATTTGACATTACGTTCTGCATAAAGTAATAGTGTCATGGAAACCGGCATCGTGTATTTTATTTCTTCTTTCTCGTTTACATGTAGCAACGCATAATGCAAGCGAAGATCAACACTGTTGAGAACTTCCATATATTAATAACATGAAAAACATTGCAGTAAATTAAACAGGTGAAAATCCCCTTGCTCATTCTTTCCATGGAAAAAATACCAATTTCCTTTTATTGCAGAAGAAAAGAAAAACTTTTTTTTTTCTCATTCAAAGAAAGTGGAAAGAATTTGTGTTTTCTTGATTATCACAACAATTTTCCGTTCTCTAACTTAGAGAATTTTTTTAAAGCATAGCTATATAGTTTGCAGAGATGAAGTCGACTCCATCTCTCTTATAAAGAGAAGACTTAAAGATGTGTCGAAAGAAAAAGAAATTATTCTGTTAACATATTCATTGTCTGCAATCGCTGATGTGTCAATATGGAGAAAAATCTACGAGAGATATTGAAAGAATAAATAGGTTGTTACATAAAATAAGACTAATGTCAATAGCATGTACAACAAACTCTATTTGATGTACGACAAATTAACTTCATATGCAGGAAAACCAAATTCCTTAAAAACATGTTAGCATAGCCCGTTGGAACTGAAGTGTGGAACTCACATGTCTTCTTTAGTTTCGTTATACTAATACATAATACGCACAGTGTAAAATCTCTCAAAGATCATAGTTCTTTTGCAATGATAATTGATTATCAGCAAACGTCCGATCTTTTTTATTTCTACATTTTGAACATAACTTTCGTTTTGTTTTTTTTGAACTGTCGCTCTTTTTTTATTTGTCTTGTTGCTATTCACTAAGTATTTATTTTCTTTTTTTTTAATTTCATTTTCATAATTCATTATCTTTAGTCTAACCATTAATTTAATGGGCAAATAAACCTGTTGTACATATACATTATATCTACAGTAGATTTTAACGATCTACTTTGTATCTCAATGAACTCAGACAGATTAATATTGATTATTCTCGCAAGTTAGAACTTAATTACTTCAGGCTTGTGTGTTGGTTCTATGACAGTCGTAGGAAATGATAACATCATCGTTGATATCTATCATATTATTAGAATCTGATGCTGTACTCCGTTTCTATTTATTTTATATCTAACCAAAAATGTATGTACACACTACTCCAAGGAAAAGAAAATGTATGTAAATTTTTATATATGTGTATCACAATCGCGGATGACTAGATGAGAAAAAGAAGGAAAAGAAGAATCCCAGACAGGGAAGAAAATGGTAAAATGGCATTAAAATGCTCTCAAGCTTACATAATTATAATGATGTAAAACGATCAAAAAAATGCTTTTTCATGTAATGCATTAAAATAATTATTTTTGACCAAATGAAAAATAATTTTAGAAGTAACGATATAATATTCATAAGGCAAACTATTTTTTGTGACCATTTCACATCATTATAATTATTTCATTTTCATAGTAATAATGTATACTATTAACGAGAAAAAGGGTACTAGTTAAACATGCTAGCATTTCACTCTCGCAACCCTTTAACTCCGAAAGATACCAATTGACACAGCTTATATAACAAGCAAATAATATTCTGAAGAACCTACTCACAGTCACCTTCACCAAAATCTTTAACAAGAAACTAATATTTGGGAACAAAAAACCTCATCGAAATTCTTCGGCGATAGAGCAAAAAGTAACTGCCTTGAATTTACCACCATCATTTTTCGGGATCAATAGTCAAGAGTCTAGGTGTGGATGTCAATACCTCTTAATATCCACACACCTCACAACTCACATCTTATTAATGACGAAACTCGATAGGGCTGCTCTATACATACCACATCTACTCCATTATTAATTTAAAGATGTTCTTATCATAAGACGATCTGATGACGGTCGGTAGAGCTGAAACGCATAGGGCTAATTCTCAGAACTGTATATCACATTCTAAGTAAACAGAATCAAAATTTTTATTTTCCAATTCGTATTCGAAGATAATTAATTCTTTTCAAATATGTTACCATAAATTTTTCTTATTTGAGAATAAAACCTTTACAATCAAGAGTTGAAAAATTTGGTGCTTCTAATTGTATTAATACTTTTGTGATGTTTATCTATCTTGAAATGGTTTCTAGATTAAAACTATTTCATTTGTATAGTAAGGAGCACACCACATGTTTTTCTGAATATTATTAAATATGATTCGTGCGTATTTTATCTATTATTAATGTCACTTTTGGTATTGAATGTCTATTGTAGGTTGATCTAATAACTTTTATTGAGAAAATCGTTCTTTTTTCTGTTGCTAATTTATATCGAGTGGTAATTAGCAAGCATAATTTATTGAGGTCACAATGACAATAAAAATGACTTCTATTATTCTTTTAAACAAGTATTTTAAACACATAAAACTTATTTTCTATTGCAAAAAGAAACACACAATAAAATTCAAACAAATTTTCTTATCATTAGATTATTCTGTTCATGTAATTGAATCATATGACTTCATGATGATGGATTAAACACGAGCTCTATATAGTAGGAAATCCATAAGATATTGTTCTTCAGGAGAAATATAATGAAATGATATAGTTTGAGTACTACAACAATTGTAATGCTAAAATGAAACAGATACATCAATAGTTAAAAAAAGAAATTTATTTTCAACAACTTACAGCTTGTAATGGATTTTCAGCACGTTGTACAAGCCAATCAGGAAAGAAACCCATAAAATGATGAGAAAATGGAAGTGGATGAAATAGTTCACGATTTTCTTTATCCAGTGCCTTGCCTGGATAAACACCTTTTGTACGAAGACATTTTGCTATTTCAATATCTTCAACACCACCATCTTTAGCACATTTTGATGCTGGATCGTTATATGCTTCATAAAATCGTCGTAATGATTCCCGACTCAATACATAAGATGCTCCACCTGAATGGTACCTCTTAGAAATGTGAATCTGAACATAAAAATCATAAAGAGTTTTAACCTAAAAACTCTTTTATAAATTAATATCATAATTATTCAACTTCAAAAAAC